TCCTCGGCAGAAATGGAAAGGGGAGGGGAGGAGGGGGCTGTTGGAAGGAGGGAGGAATTGTTTGCTCGTAACAGGTGCCTCTGCGGGTTTCTGCGGCGCTGCGCGGGGGGGTGACCTCCGGTTTCCGTGGGGGCTGCGGTGAATGGAGCCGGGGGGGGGGGTGTCGGGTTACGCGCCCCTCCGCCCCGGGAGTTGTAGGCAGCGCTGTTACCGAGTGACCTGGCTTGCTCTTTTTAAAAAATAACAATAATGAAAGCTAACCAGTGAGGATGCTGGGGAGCAGTTCCCACAGCGCAGGGTGCCCCGGGCTGGTGGGACCTGTGGTGGTGAGGAGCGTGTCACCCTCACGGACATTAACCCCACCGCCTGCCTCTTGCTGCTGTGTGACCCCAGCTGTATCCCCACAGCCCGGGTTGCCCGGGGCTCTGGGTCCCTGCTGGCCCACGGCCACTGTTAGCCAACATACTGCTGTAGTTATTTGTTAGCGAGGGTGAGGAAAGACCTGGAAATCCCCCGAGGATTGCCTCTAGAAAAAGATGGCTGCCTCAGGGCTGAAGGTGCCTTCTCGTTTACCTCGTGTAACCCCCAGGTTAACAAAGGATTTAGTTTGACTAGTGAAGGAATTACGTTGTGTTGGGGGATGGAAAGAGGGTTAAGCTTTTCTCCAGGGGAAGCAGAGTTGTAAGAGAGACTAAGGTAAGTCAAGAGAGGCAGAGAGACAAGTCTGGGCAGGGAAGGGGGGTGGCCATGTTCGTTACGGGCCTATGGCCAGGGATTCTGAGGGCAACATCCAAGCAAAACTTCTTTGCTGTTGTGAAGGTGTGAGATTGGAGAGGCCCTCTCAGTAGAAAGGTAATCTCAGGCTCGTCATTTTAAATTTACAAAGAACGGTGTCCCAGCTGAGTAAGTACTCGTTGTGAGCAATTACTGCTCGTAAGGCCTGTGGGCACTTTCCAGCCACTTGCTTGGGGACCTATGGTCTCTCTTAAAACTGACTGTGCTGGCCTGGCAAACAGGTGGAGCTGTGCTCCAACAAGTGGCACATGGGCACTGTTTTATATTTTTAGCCGCCTGCAGGCTGTGGCAAGAAGGGCTGCTGGGAAGGGAACATGATAGGAGGAACATGAGCTGGTAGGGCAAGGTTGTAACGGGTGGCTATGATGAACTGTTAAAAACATTTCACATGAGAGAAAGTGCATGTCATGAGGGGGGTCAGTGAAAACTGATGAAGGTTAAGAAATTAGACACCATCACTGAGGCTGTAGCAACAGGAATAAACAGTGTCTGTGAGAGACAGATCTGAAATGAACAGCCCCAGTCTGCTTCAAAACAAGAATATAAATAAATAGTTCTGGCAGAGGAACAGAGGCAGCATACTACAGTGCCTGTTACCCAGCAAGCTGCTGCTTTGAAGCTTATATCAGCAAGCGTCTGCTTCTCTGGTGTGAATGCCTCGTTTGTGCAAGGATAGCTTTTTATGCAGTAACTAGGATTAAGTCAGCTTCTTACAGAGGCAGTCTAGGGTGTTTGCAGCTCTTCTTGTAGGTCTGCTGTGTTGGTACTTATTTTTGATTCCTTGCACTGTCTTAATTTTTTATGATTGCTTTCTCTTTTTGAAAAGGTACCAGAAAATTTGAAGCTTGAATTCAAGTGTCAAAAATTGTTTAAATCAATTATTGGAGTGGGAGCAGCATTATCTGTCTGTGGGGTCTTGGTACTCAAGTAGCCTACTATTCTGGCCTTTGCTGGACTTGCTTTTGCAGGCTGTCCATTCTAAGCTCACCAAACAAGTGTCCTGTTGGAAGTCTAGTCATTAATTTAAATTTGTAAATTCAAATAAGTCGAGGGAGCTTTAACAGAACAGCCAATGTCCTAGTACTTTCATATGTTGAAGGTCTAGGTAAGAGTTATAAAATACATTTAATTATTTTCTTTCCAAAGAAACTTTTACTGTTGTTGAGGGATGGTGATCCTAGAGTCAGAAGTTTTCTTGTAATGCATGAACAATAAGCTATAAACTATCTGTTATGACTTGGGAAAGAGACTGAGAGATGGTCAGAAGAGCTACTAGAGGAACTAAGGAAAACCAGTTAGCTTTGTGATGCTCCTTGGTATGTTCATCTTGAGTACACAGTTCCGGTCACCCCTTCGCAAGAACAGCATGATATGCTAAAATAGGTACAGGGAATGGCAGCCAGGATGGTTTCTACATGAGGAAAAAACTAAACATACTAAGACTATTTAGTACGAAGAAGCAGCTGTGGAGGATATGCCAGAAGTCTGTGAAGTGAGGAATGGAATGGAGAAGGTGAAACTGAGAAGTGGCTGTTGATTGCCTGTCACAAAACAAGCAGTAGGAAGCACAGTAATTACCAGGCAAAGGTTGTAGTTTTTATGCAATGTATGATTAATCTTTGGAATTTATTGCTGTGGGATATGGGAGAGGCTAAACGTGTGAAGGATTAAAAAAATTAAAAGCCAAGTTCCTTGTTTATGAGTGGCTGTTTAGCATGATGGATTGGAGGAGACCTTTGCCTTTCAAGGTCTGTAAGCATCAGCTTCTTGGGGCCTGGGGAGGGTTTTTTTCAAAACTTGCCTCTTTCTTATGTTCCCTTCCCAGACATTTGGTACTGGCTGTTTGGAGAACTAGGGTACCACGTAAACACCTCCAACCCAGTGTGCCATTTTTCCTGTTCTTATAGAACAAAAGCCTCAATAGGGAAGCTGCACAGTTATCCCTCAGAAATGCCTGCCATTATGGTATTATCAATTGTGCGGATAATAGCATGAGATCCATCTGGCTGGCTGGCTAAAGGAGTCACATAATGAGAAGTTAACAGTAAGTGGTGGCAAGAATCACTGAAAGAGTAATGGCCTTGTGTTCCCTGCACAGTTTTGCATCTTGCCTCAATCTTAAACATACTCTTCTCTGCTTCTCTCTTAAGTTAATTTGAAAGAGATGTTTTTCCTCTGTAAAACTGTAAGGCAGTGGTTCTGGTACTATTGGCTGTGTAGAACTGGTTGTGTGATACTCTGTCTTTTTTTCATTGTGCTGGTTAATAAATTGCATTGAAAGGGAGTAAAATACATTAAACATTCATATGTATTTCATATCTATCTTCTTCATGCTATTTTCTCATGTTAGCTGCAGCTGAAATGCCCCTTAGAATATTACATCATCAGTGATGGGTGGAGAATTGGGTGTCTCTGATAGTAAGTGGGAAGAAGGATGAGTCTCCCTTGAGATGTATCTTTGTTCCTCAGTGACCCTTCCCCTATGAGGTTTTACAAAATGAGAACCTGTTTCACAATATACCCTGAGGCACCAAGTTGTTTCTCTTATACAAATCAGTAACAAACCCCCCACCACACTAATGAATCAGAATGTAGCCTGCAGTATGACAGTGCTCAAAATATGTTGTAAATAAGTAATTGGAGTCCTGTATTTTTTATATTGCTTCCTTTCTGGTGATGGATTTCAGTTCAGGTCTCTGAATGTTCGTGGATTAAAACTGAAGTGAGGAGTAATGAAAACTGTGAAAGAGCCTTCATTTTCACTGTTACTAAAGAGACTAACCTAATATTTTACAGTTGTGCATTTTAGAGGGTTTTTTCCCCTGTTTTGCAAGATGCTAAGTAGACCAGTGGGAACTGATCTAAATTCAATGTTACCTCTTGCAAATCTAAGGAACAAAATCTGTGATGTTGCCATGACCATTTGAGGACGCTGAAAAAGAAACAGCTTTGAAGGTGGAGGCTGATGAGGTTGTAAGAAGTTAACTTAGAAACTAATAGCCTCATGATTTAATAAGCCGGGGCCATCCCTGGAGGGGTTCAAGGCCAGGCTGGATGAGGCTTTGAGCAGCCTGGGCTAGTGGGAGGTGTCCCTGCCCATGGCAGGGGGGTGGAACTCGATGATCTCTAAGGTCCCTTCCAGCCCAAACCATTCTGTGATTCTATGACACTATGATTACTGATATTGTATGGCAAGAATGCTGCTAATGATAGCCAAAACTAAGAGCTTGTTTTATTATATTGTCATTTACATTAAAGATTGGGACAAAACCCTCTATGCCCTGGAGACAGAGGGAGTTCCAGTTCTGACTTCTGTGGAGTTGGGGCTTCAACTTTGGTTTCTCAGGGAGCCAAACAAACAGCTGAGGTTACTTCTGCATAAAATAATCCAGTCCTCATTGTCCTTTTTTTCCTTTCCAACCCCTTCTGACTTGTTTGGGTTTTTAAAAAATTTTTATTCTCTTTTTCTTCAGCACGAACTCTCTTTAACACAGAAAGCATTGTTTTATATTTTCTTTCTAATTTGGAAGGCAGAATTTGTAAGAAAATAGGTAAAGTGAACTAATAATGGAATGAAAGGAGGAAGAACAGGAAATGTGAGGAAAATTAAGAAGCAGTGTTCAAACCTGCTGTATCTGAAGTCAGTGGCAAAACTCTTGTCAGATTGCAATCAGGTACTTAAAAGAATGTGTTCTGATTCATTGCAGGTTGACCTCACGTGCACCTTCACCTTCCGCAACTCCAAGCAGACATACACAGGAATTCCCATTATAGTAGCAAACATGGACACTGTGGGGACATTTGAAATGGCCGTGGTTATGGCAAAAGTAAGTCTTCTCATTTCTGCAACAATTGGGAAGCCACTGGGTGACAGTGAGCAGCCGTTGTTAATTTTTAGCTATGTTTGTTGGAGAACAGGGGGACGTGAGGCGTCTGGCCTCAAGGCTCACCTTAATTTCTTGCAGTGCTTAATCATATTTAAACTATTGACCATAGCTTCATGAAACACATCAGAAACCTGGTCCTGAAAGGCTGGCAAAGTATGCTATTTAACTTTCAAGAGCCGTTTGGAGTTGCTTGGTCTGTTATTCATTGTTACTGTTTCTTTCAAGTTTCTTTCAAGCGGGTTGAGCCTATACTTAAAATGGGAATTTCTGATATCTTGTTATTCTGCAGCTGAGGGAAAGATGACTAACTTGGACATTAATATCAGTTTTCTTATTTTTGCTAGCATGCAATGTTCACTGCAATTCACAAGCATTATTCTCTGGAAGAATGGAAACTGTTTGCTGCCAATCACCCAGAATGCCTTGAGGTACATTTTCATACTGTAAATTATTATGGTTTATTGCTTTGTTCTGAACTCACATACACTGGAGTCTCTTGGGAATACTGTTGTCAAGTGAGGTTTTGGGGAATGAAGATATTTGCTATTCTTAAATGCATGAAGGGAAGTGGCTTGTCCTGGTTTAAAAAGAATAGCTATGTGAGTCCATTATGAAAGTTGCTTATATTAAGATGCAAAAAAGCATAGTTTTTATATGCCTGGAATGGGAACAGAGAAGTATCTTGAACAAAGAAGAGGGAAATACTTGGGAATAGGTCTAACTGCTGTACTTGTGTTGCTGTTGGGAGCTGTGGTAGTGCTGGTGAGGGAGAAGCCAAAGACCACAAATGTGAATAGCCTTGAGTAACTCAGTCACAAGCTGCCCCTGCACACCCTTGTGCTAGGTGGAGTCTTTGCTATCAGGTGTGCAAGCAGACCCAGAGCCTGTGGGCTGGAGCGGCCCAAGTGCTGGTCCCAAGCAGGGATGAGCATTGAAAGTTGTCAGAGCATATGTGTCCTCCATTTACCTCCTTGCACGAGAGCTCATGCTGTGCTACTACTAGCTGTGCTGCCCCACTTGGTCACAGGGTCCTAGCCTGAGCTCTTACAGAGAAACACAATTTGGTAAATTTAAATGATTAATTAGGTTTCAGCTTCATCTCCCGATTTCTTCTGTGTTCTTCTGGCAGGCCCCTACACCAGGAGAGGCAGTATAAGGGCATGCTTGGATGTCTCCCCTCTTCCTCAGAGTTCAGTGCAGTTTTGAAACTTTTTCTATATAGAAAAGAATACCACACAGCTGTATTGTATCTTTACCTATCGCACATTTTAGAGTTATATTATAAACACTATTGATTACAGGATTGTCTGAAAGCCAGCCTATCACTTAGGTTCATCAGGGTTACTTATATGCCACTATAGGGTAGAAAGTGGTCACAGGAATATCCTGTCTGAACACTTTGGCACTTAGCTCATTTGTGGTTCATAATCACTGGAGCAGGATCTCCTAGGGATTAAATACTGACTTGCTCTGTGACCTTGGATCTTTGCAGACATTTTGTGTGCCAACAGCTGTGGAAACTATTTTTCTACTGGAAAGAACTCATAGGAAGACAAAGGAGGAAGCTTTCTGCTTTTTTTGAATGGTAGCTCACTCTGCTTGAGCAAGGGAGTTGGGCTACACAATCTCCAGAGGTCCCTTCCAAACTCGGCTATTCTGTGATTCTGTAGGTCAAGGGAGGGTTTGGTGAACATAAAGACCCAGATTCCACTCTCTGACAGTGCCCCAAATTTTGCCACTCTGCCTTCCTGGAAATACACCAAGTCAGGGCTTCTTCTGTGTTTGTGTTAATGAGAGTATGGCTGAGCCTTCATCCATCTCTGGTGATTATATTTGCCTGTGAGAATCCACTTGTGAAGGAAGAGCTGATATAATGCAAATTTTGCTTTATTTTAGAGCCTTTAAACCAAACATAAGTAACAGATTGATATTCTGAAGAAGGTATTTATTTCATTTTATATACTATGATTTTCACTAGTTTCCAGCACAAGTTCCAAGACTATGCAGAAGAAGATATACAAAGTGTGTGTTTATCCCAGTTTTTACAAACTACTGCTCCCTTTTGTTCTCCCTGTCTTTCTAGCATGTAGCAGCAAGCTCAGGTAGTGGAAAAGCTGATTTGGACAAGTTAACAAGTATTCTAGAGGCCATTCCACCTATCAGATACATCTGCCTGGATGTGGCAAATGGCTATTCAGAGCACTTTGTGGAGTTTGTGAAGTCTGTCCGTGCCCTGTTCCCACATCACACCATTATGGTAAGTGTGTAGAAAGGTTGGAGGGGGTGTGTGGGAATTCTCTCCAGGAACAGGGTCCAGAGTTTGCTTGGTAGGCATCAGAAGTTCTGTGGTAGCTGCATCAATTTCTGAGTCCTCACTTAAAAAAAAGGAAGGAAGGAAGGTAGAGAGGTCAGTCTGACTCAAACCTCTTCCAGACATGTGGACAAATGCCTTTCTGAGAATATAGAGGGCAGCTCTATCTATCCATCCTTTCAGTTCAGCAAGATGTTGACTCTGAGCCAGATGACGACTGTTTAGTAATGTTGGCATTGTGGGGCTTCTATTGCTGATAATTTCTGTGGGAATGTTCAATGTGTGCTCTGATATAATTTCTGTGGGAATGTTCAATGTGTGCTCTGATACCGCAGTTTGATGTTGGCATGGCGGGCTGGGTGGATCCAATTTTCTTCCTACTCACATCCTCCTTCCCACACCAGATGTGACCTCTAATCATAAAATTTGTGGGTTTGTTTTGGTGATTCCAAGCTGAGGTTTGCTGTGGAAATATGCTGACATTTCTGGCTGATTGAGGCCAATAGCTGTTTTTGTCTGTTGGATCACTGTGAAGACAGCTGAGTGCAGACTAATCCTTGCCTATGATAAGAATCATAAAGGGGTTGTGCAATTGTGAATGGGATTGTCAAGGAGCGAAACAGTCAATGCTGGGACTTTTCATGTGCCTTCTGTGATGTTACTGTCCCTTCTCAGTGCTAATGCCATGCTTCCTCCAGCACTTTTGCACTAAGAGTAGGGTGTTTACATTGACATGGGAATCCTTGCAGCAGAGCCCTACTGCTCCTGCTTGTTTCCCAGGGCCCTTGAAGAAATGGGTCTGAATTTGTTTCCATGAGAATAGCAGAAATTCTCAAACAAGCAGCAGATTCTTAATGAGGCTACCAGCCTTTCTTCAAGCCAGTGCAGCAAAAAAGCATGTTTAGGCAACACTTTCTTACTTTTTCATATCAGACACAAAGCTTCACACATGTAAATGTGAAGTAAAAATGGTCATAAATGTACACTCTGGCTTGGTTCAGTAGGGAACTGCACGTTCAAGCAGCTCAACGGAGACTGTACTCCTTCCTCGCATGTCAGAGGAAGACAGTGTTCTTGCCTCTGAATGATGATGGCATTGTAAAATGGAAGTGGGGGTTCTGGGTTGCCACAGGCTAATGAACAGGCATCCCTCAACGGCTACCAGCAGATAGAGGAATCTTTTTGGCATGGCTGTATTTCCCACAGCTTTGGGGAGAGCTTTTGGAAGTATGAAAACTGGGCTTTTTGAGCTTCCTGCTCCATGTTCACTGCAGAGAGGGAAGGAGCTGTTTCCTGGCTTTGGATCTGAAGTATTGTCCTTAGTGACGTGATTACTCCAGTGTCTTTTGCTTGAAGAGTTGTGGGAGGGAGCTTAAACCACATAGGGAAGATTTTTTTTTTTTTAAACTATCAGAAGTGGAAAGAAAATTGTGTGTGTCCCCTCCTCCACCTTGCCACAGAGTGCTGACTTTTCTGACTGAGGAGGGAATTCAATGAAGATGAATTGCCCAGAAGGCACAGGAGGTCAATGTCAGAGTCAGGTATCAAGCCCAGATTTTAGTCCAAGGTACATAACCCAGTCTTATCCACCTCCTACAAGCTACAGTGTAGTTTCTCTGCTTCTGTGACGAAGGTTATTGTTACTTAAAGTTTAATTGTCCTGACAGCACATACACAGCCCCGACCTGTTCAGTTGCCTTCTCTGATTGTAGCTCCTTTCTCTGAACATGGTTTAGTATATCTCATGTTTTTCACCACCTGCACAGGGGTAGTTTCTGTTCCTAAAAGCATGCTAACAAACTTGGGGTATTCAAAAACCTTCTGTTTTCCAAAACCTCCAGAGTCTGTGCAGTCGCTGAAAGCCTCTGATTCATCTAGGGACACACACCTCTACCGCACTTCCAAATGAGTTCACAATCTGTGCCAAAATGGCCTTTTGAAGCTATTCCTGGCTGAAATGCAGGAGCTCATCTAGGTTCCTTTTTATAATCCTCTGGAAGACACGTCCTGCTGCTACCTGTTCTGTCTGCTTTGATGTCTCTGTGCTATGCCTGCAGTATGCTCTCCACTGTTGTGGCTTTCAGACAAAAGAGTTAGCAGTTAACTAGAAGGTGTAAAAATAAAGGAGCTTTCTCATAGGTGAAAGTGATCTCCAGGACCTTGCAGGCTGTCTTGTTTGCTTTCCTCGGCATGATCATTCATTCCACAGTGAGCTGCAGTGCAGTACATAACAGTAACCCAACAGCGGGGCTCAGGAAATATGTGTTCCCAGGGGCTGTGTAATGGCTTCAGCTCTGAGGCTAAAAGGTGAGGAGCAAAACAACTGTGGTTAACGTAGTATTATCTGTGGCCGATACTCCGGTGCAGATGGAGGATGTATCTTGTGTAACAGCCTTTCAAATGCATGGTTTTTGCCTTTTTAAATACTTGCTTTTATAATCACATTACCTTATTTTCTTCTGCCTGGCTCTGACACAAAGGATAGGGAAGACAAACAGAGGCACAAAGGTGCAACATGACTTATCTTAAATCACTCATGAGATTGGGGACGGAGGAAGAAGCAGTATTCAAGTCTCTTGAGTGTCTCACAAATGCAGCATAGCCCCCCAGAATAAAGAGTAATGGTCCAGTGGGCTGTTTTGCTGTAGCACAGCATCATGTGCTTGCAATGTGCTTACTCTCTGAAGTCTAAAGCAAAACTTCAGTTGACATTCATGATGGAGGGTCAGAGCCTTTATATTATAGTAAGCATAGTCCTTATTTATTAGTGTAATTGTGGATGTTAGGGTTCTTCCATTTCACTGGAAGTCTGTTTAGCAAGCTAAGATATCTTTGCCAGCAGGCTTTGCTAAGTTTTTATCCCGAGTTTTTGTTTGTAGTCTTCTCTGTTCATTATACAGAAGAAACCCTAGTCCGGGGGGAGCAGGGAGTGTGTCAGGAAGGAGAAGGCTGGGGCAGGAGCATACTTGCAGATGCAGTAGCACCCACAAGATGTAGGCCAGGGGAGGGAGGCAAGGGGAATCGCAAAACAGGAGCAGAGGGAAATGGCAGGGGCCAGCTGGGATCCCAGGTTAGGAGACAGTGAAGCTGCTGAGGCTGTCTTGGCTCAGTCACCCACCTGGTATGGTTCAGCCTCACAGAGGGCATCATCCTCCATCTTACAGTAAAGCACCTCTTGCTTTGGTGGGTGGGAAGTGTCCTTTGGCAGCATTCCTGGTAGTGTGGAGGCACAGACTCTGCTTTTCCTCTAGGATACAAGGAGAAAGTTTGAGAACTTTTGTCACAGACACTTCTCCCCAGCTTGATCCATTGCCATTTGCCAGCAGCTTTCAGGCAGTGCAGCAGTGTTCCTGTCTTAGTCAGTGTGAGTCGATATTTATAGCAGGCTTTTATGAGGCACAGTATCAAATGCCTGACTGAAATTCAGAGGCACTGCCCTACTGTGTTCGCTAATTTTGTATCTCTGTCAGAGAAGCTATAGACTTTATAATCCTGTTAGGTGAAATCTTGATCCCATTAAAGTCAGTAGTGAAACTCCCTTTGACTTTTCTGAGGCCAGGATTTCCCTCAGGACCGACCCACAGTTCGGTCATCCTGGATAGTGCTGGAATGAGCCAGGGTGATGCTCACTTGAAACCTCACACCGAGTGATGATACAGCTGAATGTCGTCCTGAGTGTGTAAGGCCAGCCCTGCAAGCAGGGTAATTTGTTGTAGCCCCTAATAACTGACAGGACTGAAAGCATGGTAGTTTACCTGACTTTCAGTTGTTACTGATGCTGTTATTTTGCTACCAGGGGTAGCAAAGTTAGATTAGCAGTAAGGTAGTTACTAGGCTATATCTCTTTCAAGAAAGCCAGTTCTACAGCAGATTAGAAATGCATTGGTACATGGCTCATCATTAAGATGAGGGTGGTTTTCACTAATACAATACTTCCACCAGTTACCATGTTCCCTGACTACTTGCCCAAATTGACTACAAAACGCATTGTCAGTAGTGGCTTCTTTGTGCGAGTTTCAGTTACTTTACTTGCTTTATGTTCTTAGTTAATTTTAAGAGGGTTTAATCTCTGTAGTCTCAGGCTTTCTATATTAACCTTTTCAGATTTTTTTTTTGCTGAAGTGTTCTGGCTTTACCTTACCAGGTAGGGCTTTCAAAAGCCCTTTTGTCTCTGTTCAGCTGTCATACTGGCATCAATGGTAAAGCAAGCATTGGTTTGAGTGGAAGTAGAGTTCAGAGAGAAAACAGCTTCCCCTGCTCTTCAGCTGTGATACTAGGGTCTCTGCACATACAGATAGCTGTGCCTCTTTTGTAGTCAGTTTTTTTTTTGTGGTCTGCAAAAACTACCTAAAAGAAGCAAGCCTGTCATCAGCAGGTAAAAGTCTGCAATGTAGAGTTCCACACCTTCCCTGAAAATTTGTTAAGGATCTGCAGATTCAGAAAGACAGAAACCACTAGTGTGTGTGCATGCGTTCCAGGAAAAAATATATGCTGGGAACAGGAGTGCTTTTCCCTGCTATGTTGAGCATTCTGAATCAATGTATGCAGCTTCAACATTCTCTAGTAGTAACTTAACATTAAATGTCTGGTTAGCATTTCTCAAGAGACAGTTTGATAGTCCGCTATGAGCTGCTAATAAGAAGACACTGCTGTTGACGTTAAATACATATTTGATCCCAAATCTCATGGAGCCACTAATACCTGTTCATTCCTGTTTATGAATCTTTTGCATGTACTTCAGTATTTCACCAAGTTATAACGTGCTGCATGACATACTGCACAGGTAGTCATCTGCCTTCCAGATGTAAACTGCTTGCTTAAAGTTGTAAGCAGCATGCTCTCCGTCACCTCACCTTGGAGTGTACAACACTTAGTATAACAAATTACCACTGAGCAGAAGGGAAGCAGTACTTAGCTGGAAACACTATACCTCTTACATATTCTTTATTTCCCGACTGTTCTATTTTATTTTTAATCAATATAATGCAGTTTTGAGCAAAGTTAAGTGGTCCTGTGTCATAGACCACAAATTGCTGCCTAACAGTATCATTGTTTTTATAAGTGCCTCAGGTGGAGGCTTGTCAGCTGTTTCAGGCTAATAAAAGGGGGAAATAAAAGTCATTAAAAATACATAAATGGTGAAACAGGAGACAAAAATCAGTAAGTGGAGAATAGGCCTTGCCCAAAATTCCCTGGGTAGCTCCGGTTGACTTTGGCAGGACTTTTGTTTCAATAAAAACTAAGAAAATATTAAGTAGGGATTTTAGGATTTGTCTCCTGCTCTGCCCATGTTGGTAGTGCTACAAGCACTTGCTAAGTCCTGGGAATCATTATGTAAGACGTTTCCTGAACATCTCTAGATCCTAAATTCATATCTCCACAATTGAATAGCCCATCTCAGTACGAGTGCGAAACGGATGATGTGGGCAACTGAACTGGTGTTTCATGCAGGTTTATTTTGTGCAGTTCTTCTAGCTAGGAACATGCCATACACATGAGACAAGCCACAGAGCTGAAATCCAAACCATACTTGGTTTTCAGATGTCTGATGGGATGATGGGCCTGATGGGATTTATCCCAGAGTGCTGAAGGAGCTAGTGGATGTTACAGCAGGACCCCTCTCAATCACCTACCAAAGGTCTTGGAAGTCTGGGGAGGTCCCTGCTGACAGTAAGCTAGCCAACGTTATTCCAATTCACAAGAAGGGCATGAGGGAAGGCCCGGGAAACTACAGACTTGTTAGTCTAGCCCCAGTAGCTGGAAAAATTATGGAGAAGATGATACTGGGTGCTACTGAAATACATTTAAAGAACAATGCAGTATTCAGGCATAGTCAACATGGGTTCACAAAGGGAAAGTCCTGTTTAATTTAATATCCTTCTATGATAAGGTCACCTGCCTAGTGGATGAAGGGAAGGCAGTGGATGTAGTAGAGAAGAGTTGGAAGGGGCCTACAATGATCATCTAGTCCAACTTCCTGACCATTTCAGGGCTGACCAAAAGATAAAGCGTGGTATTAAGGGCATTGTCCAAATGCTGCTTAAACACTGACAGGCTTGGGGCACTGACCACCTTTCTAGGAAGCCTGTTCCAGGGTTTGACCACCCTCTTGGTAAAGAAATGTTTCCTCGTGTGAAGGCTGAACCTTTGCTGATCAATCAGATCCATGTTTGGACACATGCAAGGGCCTGTCTCATCGCACTGAGCTTGCATCAAAGTGTTGAGATTCTTTAACCAAATAGACATAGTCTTGCAGCTTTTTGCCCTGATTGCACCAGTTTTGCAAACTGATTACCATGTGTGTGTTGGAAGATTGTTTTTCATAGTTTCTTTTATTAATTAAAAAGGAAGTTCCTTTGTCTCTGAATAATATCAGCAGTAATTTCATCAAATGGACATTCTTAGGTGGTTTCAGATGGGTGTATAAAAAGCAAAATCCTCAGTCGTCCTTTGCAGCTATCTTACAGGCGCATAGGGACTCTTAGAGGGACCTTTTAGTGTCAGGTGGCCACCTAGCCAGCCAACTCCTTACCCACATCAGCATGATCAGTAACAACCTTCCTCTTCACTAAATGCCTGCAGAATTAATTTAAAAATAGGAGTGCGAATACAGGTCACCAGGTTTTCTCACCCACCCAGTGGAGGGCTAGATCTGCTGGTTGTGACTGTGTGGAGCTGGACTGCAGCAGGCTACTGATGTGTGAAAGCCCCATTAACACATCTCTCAGGCTCCACCCTTCATGCTTTGATATTGTCAAATGTATGAAACAGTGATGTTCGTGGTCAGGTCTTTCGAATTTAGATTGCAGAAAAACATCATTCAAGAAATGTAGGTTTCCTTGTCCTCATCGTATTCTGGATTTTATGGCATCTATGAACCAGAAAAAGCTCTATCTCATGGTATATTTCTGCAGCCCCCGTACTGCTTGCCAGCTGAAGCTCTGACAGAAGAGAGAGCCCCTATATCAAGAAACCACGCTTGAAGAACTGCAGAGTAGAAATAGGTAACACAGCATCAGGTGGAGTGCCATAAGTTTCTGCTCCAGTTTGGAAACATGGGAGTAGGCAAATGTTCCTGGAGGTATGAGTAAATCACAGTGTGACTATAAGCCATGAATGTGATACAGGCAAATGCACTCTTGTGTGTCAGGCAAGATTATTTCAGTTGGAAAGGCTTGCAAGCATTGTGCAAAGCCCTGATGAGAACTCACCTGTACCGCTGTGCATGGTTCTCATTCCTCAGGTTCAAGAAAGATAAATTCCATCTGGTATGAAGGCAAACAAAGACTAAGCATTGATTAGGGGCGTGGAGGGCCAACAGAACAAGACAACTAAAAGGAGCAAGACAAAGGCTGAGAGGGCTGCTGTTGCTTTCAAGAAAGGTATCAAAGATGTAGGCTAAAGTAGGAAAAGACCTATTGAAGTGCAAGGAAAAATGTTAAAGAAAACAAAACGATTCAGGTTTCTTTCCAAGAAGAAGATGTCACCATAAAGAGCATGCTCTCTAGATGTCTGCAAAGTTCATGCAGAGGGAACCAAGTGTCTTTCTTTCACCTCTGACATCACCACAACTGAATGAATGTATATGGTATAAATACCCTTATTTACCTAGTCTGAATGTACGTACCAATTTTGGCATCAATGTACAGAATGACAAGAATAGTACCTTCCTTACTCTTTCAGTGCTCAAAATACTGAATCCTAAAAGAAAAAAGAGATTTGTCAGGGTTTTAAATAATATCTGAACATCATTCCCCAAAGTGAGGCAGGAATTGGATGGAGGGCTCTAGGGTGTTCAGGAGGCATAGGCAAGGCAGGAGAGGTGGAGGAGTTGCCCTGTATGTGAGGGAGAAGTTTGACTGTTTGGCCCTTATGGTTAGGGATGATGTGGTTGAGAGCCTCTGGGTGAGCATTAGGAGGATGGAAAACAAAGCAGGTATCCTGATGGGATCTTAAGGATCAGGGTTTCCTGGACCAATCATGAAATTCATTTGACTTGAAAATGTACCTGTATGATTTGTAGCATGCACAATAAACAATATGGTGAACATATTTTTCCTGACTCTGTATAATTCAGTTCATAAAAGCTCTGGATAAAAGTCAACATTATCATAATTAGTCTTTACTGCAGTAGTGTTGAAATCTCCCATATATGTGATATTGTTCCTTCTGTCTAGGCAGGCAATGTGGTGACAGGAGAGATGGTAGAAGAACTTATTCTTTCTGGAGCAGATATTATTAAAGTGGGTATTGGACCAGGTAAGTCAAATCCAGTCAAATAAGGGTGACTTATGGTAAAGCTGGTGGAGGAGTTGTCAAGATGGAACATGTATAATGCTGTTTGCTTGCCCGTTAGGATGCCTAGACCTGCTACAATAACATAGCAGTGCCCTTGCAAATAGTATATTTAAGAAATAGATTGTCAGCGTGCTAGTTTTTCGTACTGCAGAGTGTTACGTACTGCATCTTCTGTCAGTGAAATACCTGTTACTGGAAGCACTGAGTTGCCTGAGTTGCTGACTATCACTGATAACATGTGTTGTGTCTAGGAACGCTTTTTCTAGCCTGTTTAAAAGAGGATGAGTCATCCCAGATAAAGCTCAAAGGATACTGTTTTCAGGTATCCACTTCTATCAAGGAAAGATAGGTTTCTAAATAACTTTATCATTTGTGTTCTGTTAAGCTGAAGTTGCCCATCTTGTGTCTTCAAAGGTGAAATGATATTGATTAAGTGTGAAGTATGGATAATATATAATATGGATATTATCTACCTGCTGCTATTGCCTGGGAGCTAAAACTTTTATGAATGCACTTATATGTTACCTATCACTGTAACATTCTCATGGAAAAAATGGGAGGACCCTAACCTTCTTACAGTGTTTCTCCTACCTTCCCTTCCCTAATATTGTTGTCTGGCATATACTGCCATATTGTGTTCCCTTTTTTATTTCCCTCCCTTGTACATTTCTAAATGTGCTCCTTCTTGTGATTTTCTCTTCGACTGCAGCTGGGGTCACCATACGTGGGCTAGATTTTAAACTAACACAAGTGCCACTGACAGTATAGCTGTGACCAGCCAGTGCAGTGCAGGCAGATTGTTCACTCTACAATGCCAAATCGTTATGGTCCGTGAATGGATAATCTGAGCAGAGCAAATGATGTAATAAAGGTTGCAGTTGTGCCCAGGAAGACAGCAAACAACAATAAATACTGCAAAATACACGAAGAATAAACAGCAGAGATGTTGTGGTGCAGTTGTCACAGGCAAGTTCAGATATGAAAGAACAGTTCTTATAGCTTGTAGCCTCAAAGTGGAAATAGTTAGGAGTAAATGCTGTAGCCCTCCTTGGAGATCTGAACAGATCAGTTAAGTTGACCACCCAAAACCACAAGTAAAAGGTGTTCCTCCCAGAAGGTCAGATCTTGAGGCTCTTTTCCAGATAATAGTCCATCCTGTGGAAAATGGCAGTTTTTTATTGTAAAGCATTTCTGTCCTGGTTTCAGCTGGGACAGAGGTAACTTTTTTTCACAGCAGCTAGTGAGAGGCTGTGTTTTGGATTTGTGCTGAGGAGAAGGCTGATCACACACTGATGTTTATAGTTGCTGCCAGGACAGTCAAGGACTTTTCAGCTTCTCTGCTGTCTCAGTGTCTGCAGGGGCAGAAGAAGCTGGGAGGGAGCACAGCCCCAAGTACTAGCCTAGGATTCGACCTTAGGTTTGGGATTGAGACCCAGACTGAGACCAGATAGTCTATTCCATATCGTGCATGTCATGCCCAGTATATAGATAAGGCTTGGTCCAGAAGTACTCTCTCTTGCTCTGGGTTGTCTCCATCTGGGTTACCCCTCTCTCAGGGTTGTCTTGGTCTCTCAGACACTCAGGCTCTTTACCTCTGCTTTGGGAGTGCAGTTTTGTGAGTCTCCCTGCTTTGGGATCGTTAGCCGGGAATGGGCTGAGCCTTGGTCATTGGGTGGTGAGCAGTATCACTGTCTATTTTTTTGTATTTATTTATATATATTACTATTATTATCATC